TTGAAGGGAATAATCAGATGCAAAAGCTCTTGCGTGATTATTCATAATTCCAGTGTCACTTTCTGAGTCCCCGCCCCTTCATAGGCTGGGTCCCAGGCCTGTGCTCTGCAGAGCCCGAGGCTTGCTCGAAGCCACGTTTCCATTGGCATCATCACTGTCTTCACCTGCGTAGTCACTCTCTTGATGCCCCCCAGATGCTGGGGAAGGAAAATGGTGACCATATATATAGACTTTATAGCCACAGAACAGGAATGTTAATATTTGATAAATCTAGACAATACATTCATACAATTATAAAATTCATACATTGCAAAAGGGTGTGTGTCTCTCTCCCTGAGCCCCCATGTTCCCCTCCATAAAAACCAGCATGGTGCCGCTCTCATGTGTGCCCGTGGTTATGGTGCCGCTCTCATGTGTGCCCGTGGTTATGGGCTATGCCCCTGCAGGCACGTGTCTGCACTTCCTGCTTGCCTTCGAATTAGCCTGCTTTTTTCACTTAATAACTCAGCTTGGAGAGATTTATGTATCACATCATAAATCCCACTCGCTCTTTTCGATGGCCGCATAATAACTACTGCGTAGTATGGATATGCCTTGTTTAATTTAACTAGTTCCCTAACGATGGACTTTTAAGTCCTTTCCTTTTTTTCTTTTTATTGCTACTGCAAACAGTGCTATAATAAATGTCCTGACCAAAATGTCTAGTGTACATGTGTGGATATGTATATATATGATAAGTGTGTAACTTGTAACCATGACATGCTAGTGAAATAATATGTGCGCTTCAAGTATTGCTAGATAACGCCGAGTAGCCTTCCAAACCAAACCTTATTTTTCTAGTTATTTTCACCTGCAGCTTCAGAAATATGCACAGAAAATTATGACTCTTTGGTCAGGCCTTTTAGACATCTGTATATTTTTTTGGGGGGGGGGGGCGAGTCTCACCCTGTCACCCAGGCTGGAGTGCAATGCTGCAATCTTGGCTCACCGAAACTTCTGCCTCCCAGGTTCAAGCGATTCTCTGCCTCAGCCTCCCAAGTAGCTGGGGTTACAGGTGCGCGCCACCACACCCAGCGAATTTTTGTGTTTTTAGTAGAGATGGGGTTTCAGCATGTTGGCCAGGCTAGTCTTGAACTTCTGATCTCGTGATCTACCTTCCTTGGCCTCCCAAAGTGCTGGGATTACAGGCATGAGCCGCTGCAGCCGGCCTGACACCCACATATTTATATTCATCTTCTACAGGCTTCCCTCAGACCCATAAGCACCCACGCTGTTGGCTCTCAGTCTGCTGCACCCTGGAAGCCCCCACTCCTGGAACTGACTCTGGGCCCTGGCAGATCTTTGGTGTAATGAGACATGGGCCTTGATCTGCAGTTTTGGAGTCTGAGGATGGCAAGAATGGGGACAGGAGAGAGGCTGGTAGACACACACATGAAGACATGGCCAGGCCCCTGGGCCAGCCATGGGCCCTCTGCACCCTACTTCCATGATATAAACTACACCCAGCAGTTCCCTGGTGGGTGTGGAAGGTGGAGTTGGCAAGAGGCGTTCTGAGAAGCTGATTTAACAGGGCTGAGAAGACAGCCCAGCACAGCCCTGGCAGGGCTCCCATGGACAGATGCTGGAAAAGTGACCTTGGGCCTGGATGTGCAGAAAGAAACTCCTGCCTGTCCCGGGCCTCACCCACCCGGGTTGCATTCTTCCTGGGGCTCCGGAAACCACGTTCCTAGTTATCTGCTCCTCGCCAGCCCCGTGGCTCCTCCTGCTAGGCTGTGTTCCAGAAGGCAGGAAAGCTGCCTCCTCAGCCGCATGAGGGCTGTGGCCGCCAACAGGCCCGCTGGCCAGCCCAGCTCCCTCACTCATCCCTGGACCTGGGCGCAAGACTGCAGGCCGAATATGGAATAGGACAGCCCAGGAAGCAAACAGTGTAAGTTGTAAGTTTCTTTTTACTCTTAGAAACCTTTTGAATAGGCAGCAAGGTACACTGAAGCTGCTTCTCTGTATTTTGGACACGTTTGGGACAATAACAAGGGCAAAGTAGCTCCGCTAAATGGCAGACATTTGCTTTCTTGGCTCTAGGCTCAAGGGGGGACTTTCCTCTGTTCTGGGAGGCATCACTTTGGTAAGGCCCCCCAACACTCAGTATCTTCAGTAGCTCAGGACCTACAAAAGACCTTCAGTTCACATAGGGTTGCCCAGGGTCCTTCAGAGAAATACCTAATGGCTTCCATTCCAGCTCACAAAGCCCACTTCTTTTTTTTCACTTTTTTTTTTTTTGAGATGGAGTCACTCTGTCGCTAGGCTGGAGTGCAGTGGCACGATCTTGGTTCACTGCAACCTCCGATTTCCTGGTTCAAGTGATTCTTCTCTTCCTCATTCTCCTCAGTAGCTGGGATTACAGCCACATGCCACCATGTCCAGCTAATTTTTTTTTTTTTTTTTTTTTTTTTTAGTAGAGATGGGGTTTCGCCATGTTGGCCAGAATGGTCTCAATCTCCTGACCTTGAGTCTCACTATGTTGCCCAGGCTGGTCTTGAACTCCTGATCTCAAGCTATCCTCCCGCTTCAGCCTCCCAGAGTGCTGAGATTCCAGGTGTAAGCCACCATACTCAGCCTTGAGTTTCTCTCTAAATGAATTGTATACGCAGGCTGGAGTGCAGTGGCACCATCTAAGCTCACTGCAGCCTCCACCTGCTAGGCTCAAGCCAGAGTATCTTCCTACCTCAACTTCCCTTGTGGCTGGGACTATAGGCCCATGCCACCATGCCTGTCTAATGTTTGTATTTTTTGTAGAAATGGCTTTGCCCTGTTGCCCAGGCTTGTCTCAAACTCCTGGGCTGAAGGGATCTGCCTGATTTGGCCTCCCAGAGTGCTGGGTTTACAGACCTGGGCCACCTTGCCTGGCCCAGAATTGTACCTCTTTTTTTTTTTTTTTTTGAGATGGCGTCTTGCCCTGTTGCTAGGCTGGAGTACAGTGGTGTGATCTTGGCTCACACAACCTCCACCTCCTGGGTTCAAGTGATTCTCCTGCCTCAGCCTCCTGAGAAGCTGGGGCTACAAGTATGCATTACCACACCCAGCTAATTATTGTATTTTTAGTAGAGAGGGGATTTAACCATGTTGGCCCGGCTGGTCTCGATCTCCTGACCTTGTGATCCACCCTCTTTGGCCTCCCAAAGTGGTGGGATTACAGGTGTGAGCCACCGTGCACGGCCCAGAATTGTACCTCTTAAACACGATGTTTCATCAATCAATATCACCTTTTGTTACATTTTACACACATGAAGATCCAAGTTCAGTTTTCTGCTTCTTCACATTTTCAGGGTCTAATATGATTCTTTCTGGTGATCATGGCGGCAGGCTGCTCTGTGTCGTTCTTGCTCAGGACGGCGACCGATTTAGAATATTTGGGGCCAATGGTGACATTCCACAGTATGTCACAGAACACTACGGTTTCATCTGCTCTTCCCAACTGCTTGAGCTTTTAGTTTCTCCTTAATTGAATTATCTATCAGAGGAAATGGCACAGCTCCTGGCATCCGACAGGCAGATGCTTGGTATCTGAATGATGGTCCTTTGTGATACACAATCAGTGGGCCAGCCTCTCCTCTACAAAGGCTCGAGGTTGTGGAGATTGTGGAGGACTTCCCTATGTCCATGCTGTCCCACATGGGTATTGCAAACCAATCAGGGTAGCTCCATCCCCCTTGACAGTGATTAGTTTGGGGGTACACAGGCCTAAGCTGTGTGGTACATGGAACGGGAAGGAAATCAGCTTGCAGGGCTCTTGACCAAGCCACACCACACACTGCTGTCTTTTTCCTCAGGATGTTTTGTGTCTGAAGGTGATGGCAAAAAAAAAAAAAAAAAAAAAAAAAGTTAAAAAGACCTGCTCCTTAGTAATTTTGCCACTGACTCAACCTGCCCAGGAGCCCTCATGCCCTCCGGGTTTCACTCTTCCCGGAGATAACAAATGATCTTATCGTTCAAGCCACTTCAAGTTGTGGTTTCTGTTACTGGAGGCTCAGGGTTTCCTAATATAGAGCTACCTGAAGCGCCTGGCAGTTTCTATAGTCTTTAATTATGTTGCCTGATGGTGACAGGTAATCTTCAATGTACATAATAAACAAAATTTCACTGGAAACCACACTGGAGTTTACTTTTTCTAATGGCATTTTAAGTGACAAATATGTTTTCAGATTTTGATTAAAATTCACCTATTCGCTGTAATAGGTAAATACGCCTGTAATCCCAGCATTCTGGGAGGCCCAGGCCAGGGGATCACCTAAGTTCAAGAGTTAGAGACCAGCCCGACCAACATGGAGGAACAGTGTCTCTACTAAAAATACAAAACTAGCCAGGCGTGGTGGCACATGCCTGTGATCCCAGCTACTTGGGAGGCTGAGGCAGGAGAATCTCTTGAACCCTGGAGGCTGAGGTTTCCGTGAGCCGAGATCGCGCCATTGCACTCCAATCCCAGCAACAAGAGGGAAACTGTGTCCTAAAAAAAAAAACATTCACTCATTCGCGGTACTTCCAGTGCAAACAATGCATCAAGTCTCAGAGGTGAGGACACCAACCATCTCCTTGAGGCTGGCATGGGCACCCCAGATCACCTCTCCTGCCCCACTGCGCTGAGTTTTCCTTGACAAGGTGTGTAAGATGGAGCTCAATTTTAGACATGCTACAGTGTGAGAAAGTGAGAGTCAGAACTGAGAAAACTTTTTTTTCTTTTTTTGGAATGCTTCACGAATTTGCGGGTCATCCTTGCGCAGGGGACATGCTAATCTTCTTTGTATCGTTCCAATTTTAGTATATGTGCCGCCGAAGCGAGCAGTATTAATACCCCACCTTCTAGAGGGCAAGTGTCTTTTTTTTTTTTTTAATAGAGATGGGGGTGTCACCATGTTGGCTAGGTTGGTCTCTAACTCCTGACCTCAAGTGATCCACCCATCTCGGCCTCCCAAAGTGCTGGGATTACAGGTGTGAGCTACCGCGCCCGGCCTGAGAAAACTTTCTTAAAGTGGGGAGAGGAATGTTTCTGCCAGCTTTGTGTGTGGCGTGCAGGGGGCGTGTTTTGGGGCTGGGAAGAGAAAACCGAGACGGTGAGGAAGGTGACTCGGGCCGAGGACAGGGTGGTCTGAGTCCTGTTTGGAGGCAAATTCTAGAAAATAAGGCGATGCCGTCGTGAGGACGTCGCGCGCTCTGCAGGCCCGGTCCCTTCCCAGGGCCCCGCCGCGCTGTCCGCGGACCGACTCCGCCGCGCCGCCCGGCTGGCGCCTGCGCCCCCCAGCGCCCGGGCGGGCGGAGTTGCGGGTGAGAGCAGGCGGGTTGGGGGGCGGGGGTCCCATGACGGCATCGGAGCGCGCCGCGCTGGGTCTGGAGCCGGCCTGCGCGGCCCGGGAAGACCTCGCTCGCCCCCAGGCAGGTGGGTGTGGGCCCGGGAGCGGGTTGCGAGCAGGACCCGGGTGTGTGCGGGCGCGCACTCCCTCCCCGCGGAGGCCTGGACCCGGGCGCCCTGACCCGGCCCGAGGAGCCCGCAGCCTTGCTCCCAGCCTCCCCAGGCGCTTCCTCTGACGGGCCGGCGTCCTTTTCCCGACAACGGTGCTGAGGCCGGCATTCCCGGCCTGCGCGGAGGGACGAGCGCCGGGGCTGCGAGGTTGTAGTCACTTTTCCAACTTTCCGGGAGCTCCGTCCCGCGCCTGCCGCCTCCAGCCCCGGCCCTGCCCCGGCCCAGAATCGCGCCTGCGGGGTTGTCCGAGCGTCTTCAGGGCGGGAGCCGGGACCGCACCGAGCTCGGGACGCTCGGGCGAGGCCGGGGCGCGTCGAGGCCCCCGCCGGGTCGCCAGGCCCAGTTTACTGCGATGCGCTCAGGGTCGGGCGCCTAGAAGGGGCTGGTGACTGAATTAACGAAAGGTTCCTGTGTTGAGAGAGACTACGGGGTGAAGAGTAAGTGCCGGTGGCGGTGGGAGGAGGGAGGGCGGGGAAAGTGCCTTAGAGGAAGATTATCCGTCCCTTTTGTTTTTTTTTTTTTTTTTTTTGAGACGGAGTTTCGCTCTTGTTACCCAGGCTGGAGTGCAATGGCGCGATCTCGGCTCACCGCAACCTCCGCCTCCTGGGTTCAGGCAATTCTCCTGCCTCAGCCTCCCGAGTAGCTGGGACTACAGGCGCGCGCCACCGTGCCCTGCTGATTTTTATATTTTTAGTAGAGACGGGTTTTCACCATGTTGACCAGGATGGTCTCGATCTCTTGACCTTGTGATCCACCCGCCTCGGCCTCCCAAAGTGCTGGGATTATAGGCGTGAGCCACCACGCCCGGCCTTCCTTTTTTTTTTTGAGACGGAGACTCATTCTGTTGCCCAGGCTGGAGTGCAGTGTCGCGATCTTGGCTCACAGCAACCTCCGCCTCCCGGGTTCAAGCGATTCTCCTAGGTCAGCCCTCTGAGTAGCTGGGACTACAGGCGTGTGCCATCACGCCTGGCTAATTTTTGTATTTTAATAGAGACGGGGGTTTCACCATGTTGGCCAGGTTGGTCTTGAACTCCTGACCTCGTGATCCGCTCGCCTGGCCCTCCCAAAGTGCTGGGATTTCAGGCGTGAGCCACCGTGCCAGGCTATCCATCACTATTGGGCAGCTGGGACCTTGTGCTGGGCGCTGGTGACAAAGTGCAAAGTGGACCCAGAGGGTCTCTGCCTTCCAGCTCCTGGTGTGGGAGGTGGGGGAGAGGCGCGTAGTGACTGCAGTTGCACTAGAGTGGTCTCGGGCCGGTGGGGCAGCACTGGGGGTTGTGTGTGTGTGGTTGTGGGGTCACAGAGCAGGAGGGCTTCCCTGGTTCCCTGAAGAGGGTGGCTGCAGCCTGAGCTGCGACGGATGAGGCCTGGATAACACCCAGCCGTTGCAGGCAGAGAGAGGCGAGGACAGGCCTGGGATGTGGGAGGTACTGGGAGGTGAGTAGTCCCGGGAGGCAGAGCCTGATTTTTGCATTTGCATTTTGAGAGATGTCCCTGGGGTACAGTGGCTGATGCCTGTAATCACCAAACTTTGGGAGGATCCCTTGAGCCCAGCAGTTCAAGACCAGGCTGGGCAATCTAGCTAGACTGTCTACAAAATAATAAGTAAGCCAGGTACGTGTCTATGGTCCCAGCTACTCTGAAGGCTGAGGTGGGAGGATCACTTGAACCTGGTAGGTTGAGGCTGCAGTGAGCAGTGATCACGCCACTGCACTGCAGCCTGGGTGACAGAGAGAGACCCTGTCTCAAGAAGAAAAAGATGCCCCTGGCTGCCCTGTGGGAGGGGACAGGGAGACTGAGATGGGGAAAGGCTGGTCAGTCATCCTGGCACGATGTCCATGGCCAGGACCAGGACTTTGGCTGCAGAATGGGAAGCAGCAGGTGAACATGAGAGCTGTTTCAGATGGAACTGGCGGATTTGGTGGTGACAGCTTGGTCCTGAAGGATCTGTTGGCTTTTATGAAGAAGGTAGGGCAGGGGGTGTGGGTGCTGTGACAAAGACAGAGACTGTGGTGAACCCAGCAGGTGTAAGGGACAAGGGTTCCCTGGTGCGGTGTGGCGCTGTGCGTGTGTGTTCTAGGAGTCAGGGTCACAGGGAAGAGTGTAGCTGGAACACGGAAGCGCCCGGGGACCAAGCGCAGGACTTAGGGCCTCATGATGCCAGTGCTGGGAGCCATGACATGTTATTTGGGGGACCGTATGTGTCATGGCCCTGGCAGCTTTTGAGCACCAGGATGGGCATGGGGATGTTCTGAACTTTGACCACCCTTCCCCCATCCCTTCAGGGTCTGGCTTAGGTGCCCTGCAGGGTGAGTCCAGCTCCTGGAGCACACGTGCTGATGGCCGGCACTTCTCTCTCTTCACAAGGCCCAGAGCCATCCTCCCTCAACATGGGGCTGGAAGCCCAGAGGCTGCCAGCTGCTGAAGAGGTCCCGGTGCGGGTTGCCCTGCGAGTTCGACCCCTGCTTCCCAAGGAGCTGCTGTACGGGCATCAGAGCTGCCTGCAGGTGGAGCCAAGGCTTGGCCGCATCACCCTGGGCCGGGACCGACACTTCGGCTTCCACGTGGTGCTGGCCGAGGATGCCGGGCAGGAGGCTGTGTACCAGGCGTGTGTCCAGCCCCTCCTCGAGGCCTTCTTTGAGGGCTTCAATGCCACCGTCTTTGCCTATGGTCAGACGGGCTCTGGGAAGACGTACACGATGGGGGAAGCCAGTGTGGGTAAGTGACCTGGCTCGTGGCCCTGGGCCCACTTTCAGGAGCCTTCGTTCTTTCCTGGATTTCTGTCCCTGTCCTCTTGCTGCCTGACCCTGTGGAAGAGGAGGATGCTGGGAGAGGGAGAGTAGATTTCTGAGACACAGATCTGCCACCCAGGCTGGGACGAGTCACATCTGTGGGTTGGGCAGGGCAGGGTAGGAAGGAAGGGTCATTGGAGGTGAGTGGTCTTCTCACCTCCATAGAGATGGGGCCTGCTGCCTGGCTCTGGGGACCTCAGCAGAGGAAGGGCATGGGAAGGTGGTGTGTCTGTGGAGGTGGCCAGGATGGCTAGGGAAGGTCAGGAATCTGTGTTCTAGTTGAAGCCATTGGGAATGGGCCCGTGTGTCTTGGAAGAGCTGTGCTTGGCTGCTGTGAGGCTGCCAGCCAGGCTCTGGAGCAGTTTCGAGAAATATCCTTTGGGCCAACTGAAGGAAGGGTCTCCTTTTAAGTAACACAAGCTGCTTTCTCTCAGGTTACTGCCTTGCTGCGCTCCTTGCACTAGAACGGAACACCACAGACTGGGTGGCCTGTTCCCAGAAATGGATTCCTCACAGGTCTGGAGGCTGGGAAGTTTAAAATGCAGGCGCCAGCAGATCGAAGGGCCTTCTTCCTGGTAGACAGCCTCCTTTTCTAAACTTCCATGGTAGAACACAGAGGGGGTCTCTCTCAGGTCTCTTTTATAAGGGAACTAATCCCATTCCTGAGGGCTCCACCTGCACTTCCATCATATTGGGGGTGAGGATTTCAACATGTGAATTTTGGGGAGCATAAACATTCAGATCATAGCAGTTACAGAAACATACTTTGTTGTAAAAAAATTAGGAAAATACAGTGAAATGTATGCCCGAAATAAAATGTCCTTGATAATTGCCCTTCAGAAGTCCCCTGCCCTGTTAGCATTCCAGTTTCTTTCATTGGGAAAATTATATTACTTTTCAAAAATGGGATTATATTATACACATTCTTTTGTGTCTTGATTTCCTTAACAATGTATCATTGGCTGGGCACAGTGGCTAATGCCTGTAATCCCAATACTTTGGGAGGTAGAGGCAGGTAGATGGCCTGAGGTCATGGGTTTGAGACCAGCCTAGCCAGCTTGGCAAAACCCTGTCTCTACTAAAGATACAAAAACTGGCCAGGCATGGTGGTGGGGGTCTGTAATCCCAGCTACTCAGGAGGCTGAGCCAGGAGAATTGCTTGAACCCAGGAGGCAGAGGTTGGAGTAAGCCAAGATTGTGCCACTGTATTCCAGCCTGGGCGACAGAGTGAGACTCATCTCAAAAACACAACAACAATAAAAAAACGTATCATGAACATTTCTCTGTGTCATTAAATATTTTTCCATCTAACTTTTTTTTTTTGAGACAGAGTTTCACTCTTGTTACGCAGGCTGGAGTGCAATGGCGCAATCTCGGCTCACCGCAACCTCCACCTCCTGGGTTCAGGCAATTCTCCTGCCTCAGCCTCCTGAGTCGCTAGGATTACAGGCACGCGCCACCATGCCCAGCTAATTTTTTGTATTTTTTAGTAGAGACGGGGTTTCACCATGTTGACCAGGATGGTCTCGATCTCTTGACCTCGTGATCCACCCGCCTCGGCCTCCCAAAGTGCTGGGATTACAGGTGTGAGCCTCCGTGCCCGGCCTTCCATCTAACTTTTTAGGCCAGGCACAGAGGCTCACACTTGTAATCCCAGCAGTTTGGGAGGCTGAGGCGGGAGGATCACTTGGGCACAGGAGTTGGGGGACCAGCCTGGGCAACACAGCAAGACCCTGTCTCTAAAAACAAAAGCACAACTTTTTAATGGCTGCCTGGCATTCCATAGTGAATGGAAAATAGTTGATTTAGCCAGATCTCCTGTTGGATCTTCACATGGACGCTTAAGATGTTTGCATTTTTTGAAGTTATGAGGAAGAGTGCTGCTCTGAACTTCCTCTGATTATTTCCTTGGGATAAATTTAGGAGGCCCTGTAGATAACTGAGCATGGATTAGGGTAATGAACTCCCTGTCCCAGGGAGTAATCAAGGCAAGGTTATCTGATAATGTATTGAGGATGCAGTGAAGGGGATGCTAACATCATGAAAGGGGTTGGTTGAACCAGGAGAGGTTGCCTCCAACTCTTATGTTTTATAATTCTGCCTGACCGCCTGGAGCATGGCCTGGCTCAGGCTGCCTGTCCCATCCTGGCCTCTGCCACTGCCTTCTCCATCCTAGAGCCTTATCCTCTAGCTCTGGCAGGGGCCTATGAGCTTGTGGACCTGGGGGCCTTGGGCCACGTCCAGCTGAAGTGGCAGGAAGCCCCACGGTGTCTCCCCAGCCTCCCTCCTCGAGGATGAGCAGGGCATTGTTCCGAGGGCCATGGCCGAGGCCTTCAAGCTCATCGATGAGAACGACCTGCTTGACTGTCTGGTGCATGTGTCCTACCTGGAAGTGTACAAGGAGGAGTTCCGAGACCTGCTTGAGGTGGGCACCGCCAGCCGTGACATCCAGCTCCGGGAAGATGAGCGTGGGAATGTTGGTGAGGAACTCCAGGGCCTCCACAGGCAGAGAGGGGTTTAGGGAGGCATCAAGTGCTTGGAGTGGGATGCTTACCTGTCTGGGAATGGCACCTCCTCATGGAAAACCCAAGCCCTGGGAGGTTCCGCTTTAGCTTCCTGTCTTCACTAAGTTCAGTAAATGCTTCTACTCTCAGAGCAAGAGGCACTGAGGTGCGCCAGTGGGAAGCTGGAACCCCTCAAGCCCAAACTATGAAGGGCAGGATCCCCTGGGTCTGGGGAGGGGGCAGTAGGTCAGGAAGTGCAGGTCGGGGGCTGGTTCTGCACTGCCTGCCCCACTGGCCGGTCAGTCTGGCGGTCCCTGCCCTGGAGCTCACAGCCTTCTGTGCCCACAGTGCTGTGTGGGGTGAAGGAGGTTGACGTGGAGGGCCTGGATGAGGTGCTGAGCCTCCTGGAGATGGGCAACGCGGCGCGGCACACGGGGGCCACGCACCTCAACCGCCTGTCCAGCCGCTCGCACACCGTGTTCACCGTGACTCTGGAGCAGCGAGGGCGCACCCCCAGCCGCCTGCCCCGCCCCGCGGCCGGCCAGCTGCTTGTCTCCAAGTTCCATTTTGTGGATCTGGCGGGCTCGGAGAGGGTGCTCAAGACGGGCAGCACCGGCGAGCGCCTCAAGGAGAGCATCCAGATCAACAGCAGCCTCCTGGCGCTGGGCAACGTCATCAGCGCCCTAGGGGACCCCCAGCGCCGGGGTAGCCACATCCCCTACCGCGACTCCAAGATCACCCGGTGAGCTTCCCCTGTCTCCTGTGTGCCCTGGGGTCCGGGAGGTGGGGGTGCCAAGCGCCGGTGGGGGTGGCAGCCTAGGTACCCCAGTGAGCCCGTCTCGGGTGTGTTGCGCCGGCCCCTGAGCGCCTCCCCTCGCCCTCAGGATCCTCAAGGACTCCCTGGGCGGGAACGCCAAGACTGTGATGATCGCCTGCGTCAGCCCTTCCTCCACCGACTTCGACGAGACCCTCAACACCCTCAACTACGCCAGCCGCGCGCAGAACATCCGTAACCGCGCCATGGTCAACTGGCGGCCCGAGGCCGAGCGGCCGTCCGAGGATGCGGCTAGTGGTGCGCGGGGGCCGCCGCGGCACCGCTCGGAGACCCGCATCATCCACCGCGGCCGGCATGCCCAGGGCCCCGCCGCCGCCGGCGCTGCCGCCTCCTCCGCCGCGGCAGCCAAGCGCCTGGGCGCCGAGTGCGCGCGCTACCGGGCCTGCACCGACGCCGCCTACAGCCTCCTGCGCGAGCTGCACGCCCAGCCCGGGCTGCCAGGTGCTGCGGCACGCAAGGTGCGCGACTGGCTGTGCGCGGTGGAGGGCGAGCGCAGCAACATGAGCTCCGCCTCCGGGCCCGACAGCGGCATCGACAGCGCTTCCGTCGAGGACCAGGTGGCGCAGGAGGCCGGCGGGCGAAAGGTGGGCAAGGGACGGGTTGTGGTTGTGGGCCATGGGGAGGGGTGGGGAGGAGGGAAGAAGGTCTAAACATGGCCGCCGTGCCCGTGCCTCCCGCGCGTCAGCAGGGCAATTCAGGATTCAGTCTCTTCTGCTGATGACCGTAGTCACCACTCGAACCTCACCAGCCCCAGGTCTCCAGCTGTAAATTAGGGATGACCGGAGGCCTCACCCCATCTCTTGGTGGGGATGATGTAGGGTTGAGGGAAAAACATGGCCTAGCATGCCGCTGGAGACGCAGTGACTTGTTCCTAATAATAGGGACGATATTATTGATTCAAACACGATGGATAATTACAAGAGATGACCCAAATGGCTTGCAGAGGGCACCCAGGCCAGCTGGGGTCTGGGGTATGCTCCCCACCAGTGAGTCTGGAGCTCCCATTGCAGGCAGGGCCTGGAAGAGCAGGTACAAGCAGGGCTAGAGAAGAGGCCGGGTATCCAGCTCCCCCTGTCAACTCCTGCCCCTGAAGCCTCTCTCCCCGTCCTGTAGGAGGATGAGGGGGTGCCGCAGCTGCTGACCCTGCAGAACCAGGTGGCGCGGCTGGAGGAGGAGAACCGAGACTTTCTGGCTGCCCTGGAGGACGCCATGGAGCAGTACAAGCTGCAGGTGCGGCTCCCAATCGCAGTGCAGGGAAGGCTTCCTGGAGGGTGGAGGGAAGGCAGAGCTGAGTTTCTCAGGGTGGGAGGGAGTTGGAGTGGGGTACTGCGAGTCGGGGTGTAGACAGGAGGTGTACATGAGCGGAAGTGTGGAGGTGATCTTCAGAACAGTGCGGGGGGCGGGGGTTCAGGACCGCCAAGCAGGGCAGCTTTGTTGGGTGTGAGCTTGGACGCGAGAGGGGACTGGAGGGCAGCACGTGGGACCTCGGGGCCCGGGGAACCAGCCCAGCATTGTTCCTGGCGCCCTCTGGTGGCGGCGGTTGGAGGTGGCGGGCTGGCGGGACAGGCGTGTGATGGGGTGAATTTGAGTCTGATATCCTACAGAGTTGTTGGGGTCGCGGGAAGAGGAGAGGAACGAGAGGTGGTCAGGATTATTTGATCCTCCTCAATTTTAGCACAGAGACGGTGGGGTGGCCTCAGACTTGTTCCTCAGTTTCCTATACTCCTGCCTGTCAGGGCATTCCTGCCTCCTTGGCACCTGGACCATGTCTTGCAGAGCGACCGGCTGCGTGAGCAGCAGGAGGAGATGGTGGAGCTGAGGCTGCGGTTAGAGCTGGTGCGGCCTGGCTGGGGGTCCCCCGGGCTGCTGCCGGGCCTGCCTTCTGGGTCCTTTCTGCCTCGGCCTCATACAGCCCCCCTGGGGGGTGCCCACGGCCATATGCTGGGCATGGTGCCCCCTGCCTGCCTCAGTGGAGATGAAGTTGGCTCTGAGCAGAGGGGAGAGGTGAGGAGAGGGCGAGGCTGGGTGTCTGACGGCCTGCTGGACTGGTCAGGCTCCGGGTGGGGCAAAGGGTTGCTGGGGTATGCGCTCCCCACTCATGCTTTTATGGGACTGGCTATGAGATGCGGGAGTCTGCTTTCAGGTGTCCCCAGAGGAAGAGCCAAGATTTGAATGACTCTGTGGGGCCTCTCTGAAGGGTCCAGTGCCATGGGGCCTTCCCGGGGTACCTGGTGGGTGATTGCTTGGAATGAGATTATCGAGGGCGTTCTGGCTTCCGGTGCCAAGTGGAAACCTTGCACCCTTCTGCAGACTGAGAGCTCATCACCTCTCAGCCCACCCTCTGTCTTTGGATGGCTCTCTTTGCAAGTTCACTTTTCCCCGTGGGGGAACCTTGTTTGGACAAAGGTTACTCCTCTGCCTGAAAGTTCTGGGTCCTCTGGGCTTTTAGGCCTGGGTCATCTCAGCTCTCAAAGCTGGGGGTTGGCAAAAGTCTCGTGTTCACCCATCACTCTAGCGGGGAATTGTTGGTGAGATAGGACTTGGGTGCAGGTGACCTGTACACAAGGTAGAAAGGGCGGATTGTCACCTGAGAAGTACTAGGTATCATGGGAGCCAAAGCAGGAGGGAGGGGAGAGGAGGGAAGGAAGCTCTTGCCACAGCTGGAGACTGAAAAGGCTTCTGGAGGTGTATTTGAGCTGGATCATGAAGGTAAGGCAGGATGTGAGGAGGGCAGGCAGGGCGGGGTGTGCCGCAGGGACGACTTGGGATGGGAAATGGCTCACTTCCCTAGCAGGTGACAGATGGCAGGGAGGCTGGAGCTGAGTTGCTGGCTGATGTGAACAGGCTGGGAAGTGGCTCTTCAGCTGCATCAGAGGAGGAAGATGAGAAGGAGGAGCCGCCCAGGAGGACCTTACACCTGCGCAGGTGAGCGGGACCCACTGCCTTCACCTGACAAGGGCCTGCTCACGGCCAGGGTTGGGCAGGCTGGGGATTCCACCGTCTCCTCTCCTGACAGCAGTGGGGAAATCTCTGGGTCCCAGAGTGCTCTCATGTTGCTCTAGCCAGAAAGTCTTACTGGAGTGCGTGTGATACAGGGTGGGTCCAGGCCTCCTGACCTCAGATTCCAGGGTGGCCCTCTGTGCCCCCAGCTGCCCTGCACCTCCTGAAACTCTGCCCCTGGTCTCCTGATTTAGCCAGACTCACAGCCTGGGATTGTCGACTCTGGGAGATGGAGACCAGGTGGCTTATTTTTCTCCCTCCAGGCCTGGGGGTGGCTGGGCTGGGGCAGGGGCTGGGGAGGAACATGGCCTCCTGCTTCTGTCCTGCAGAAATGGGATCAGCAACTGCATCCAGAGGGCGGGGGCTCAGCCAGGGAGTCCATCAGACAGGAGGGGCCCAGAGCTCTGCCTTGAAGAGTTGGAGGCAGCCATCCCAGGGTCCAGAGGTAAGCTGGGTGGGGTTCAGAGAGGGCCTCCTCTCCTCCTGCCACGGTCCTGGGCCAGCCACCCCGGGACAGTCTGCCCACCATCCCTGGCAACCCCTGCCCTCCACTCCTCTGTCTCCCCCACTGTCAGTTGGGGCTCACAGGCTGCCTGTTGCAGCAGTTGGCGGGAGCAAGGCCCGGGTTCAGGCCCGCCAGGTCCCCTCTGCCACGGCCTCGGAGTGGCGGCTGGCCCAGGCCCAGCAGAAGATCCGGGAGCTGGCTATCAACATCCGCATGAAGGAGGAGCTCATTGGCGAGCTGGTCTGCACAGGTGAGGGGTGGGCATCGTTACTTATGCACTGTTGTAGAGAGAGTTCAACAGTGAGGTGATTAGGAGCGGGGCCAGATGGTCTGGGTTTGATACTCAGCTCAGCCTCTTCCAGCTGTGTGACCCTGAGCAAGTAGCTTCACCCCTCCCTGCCTGTTTTCTCATATCTAAAATGGGGATGGTCGTTGTACTTACTGAATAGGGGTGTTGCGAAGGTGAGGTAATTCAGGCCCTTGTCAGCAGCCAACATGGTGTGTCCCAACTCAACCTGCACAGGTGTGAGGTCCGCCTGGGCGGCTCCTCCTCCTCTTCCTCCTCTGATGCAGCTGAATAGCTTAGAGTAGCTCTTGGTAAGCAGCACTTTATCGAGTGCCTGCAGTGTTGCAGCCATTGTGCTGGGCAGACTATCAGTCCTGGGAGACACAGTGAGTGTCAGGGAGGACTCAGAGTCCCCAAATTGTGTAATGTCTATGACTGGTAGTATAAGTGAAGGAGGGGGCAGGGGTAATTTTAGGTGGTGGCCAGTTGAGCATTTTTATTTTAACAGTGGATGAATTTGTTACAAAATTCATAAACTTTTTCAACCAGACATAAGAGAGGCAAGTACCATGGGTCCCCTCCTCCAGACTTACCAGTTACCAAGATTTTTCCACATTTCTTTCCCGCTCCCTTTTTTCTTGGCTGAATATTTTGAAGGACACCCCAGGCTTCCTGTCTTTTCTTGCCTATACCTCCCAATGTGCTGCTGTAAACATGTGGACGTTCTTTTACCTAACCATAATACTGTCAGCACACCTAACGGAGCTAGTGTCCTCTTATGCCCAGAGCAGAAGCAGTGTTATCAGCAGTGTCTGTCTGTAGCTGGATTGCTTGAATCGGGCTCCAAACTTGTTCCACACACACATCATACCGTCGGCACTTGGTATCCATGTGGGATTGGTTCCAGGACCCTGTGAATGCCCAAATCTGTGGTGCTCAAAAAAGGCGCAGTAAATAAATAGTATAGTATTTGCAACCTCTGACCCACATCTTCCTTTCAGTCACTTTAAATCAGCTGTAGATTTTGTACAATACCTACTACAATGTAAAAGCTGTGTAAATAGTTGTTAGACGATATTATTTAGGCAATGATGAGAAGAAAAATCTGTACATGTTCAGTAGAGATGCAGCCATCATTTAGAAAAAGATGATTCCTGCCGTGGTTGGTTGAACCCCCGGATGTGGAACCCACGGATACAGACGGCCGACCGTGTTTGTTTCTGGGGTCTCACGTTCCTTCTCTCACTCATCCTGTGGAAGGTCCCAAACCACACATGTTTAGTGTTTGTCTGTTTGCTTTTTTGTGGTGTCATTTAACTCATTCTTTTGTCCTCCAGATTTCCTGCAAATGAAAGTTAGTTCTAGAGGCTTAATTATATACAGATTTCAGGTTATAGAATGCACTGGGTAAAAATAAAACTAATTAATTTGTAATTTCCTTGGGTCACTGCAGTGGATGAGGGTCATTTAAAAAGTGAGTTGAGGCCGGGCTTGGTGGCTCAAGCCTGTAATCCCAGCACTTTGGGAGGCCAAGGCGAGTGTATCACCTGAGGTCAGGAGTTTGAGACCAGTCCAGCCAACATGGTGAAACCCCGTCTCTACTAAAAATACAAAAATTAGCTGGGCATGGTGGTGCATGCCTGAGATTGCACCATTGCACTCAAGCCTGGGCAAAAAGAGCAAAACTCCATCTCAAAATGAAAAGTGAGTTGAAGAAAAATAATAAGCTGTGGTATACTGGTGGTGCAGAGGTGGGTACTTGGTGAAACCCACACAGGTGTCCAGGGGCTGGGAAACCTCCCTGGGGGACCAACAGCTGGCTCTCCTGGTGGGGTAGAGCTGCTCGTGCTGATGGCCCCACTTTCTTCCAGGAAAGGCAGCTCAGGCCCTGAACCGCCAGCACAGCCAGCGTATCCGGGAGCTGGAGCAGGAGGCAGAGCAGGTGCGGGCCGAGCTGAGTGAAGGCCAGAGGCAGCTGCGGGAGCTCGAGGGCCAGGAGCCCCAGGATGCCAGTGAGCGGTCTCGGCTCCAGGAGTTCCGCAGGAGGGTCGCTGCGGCCCAGAGCCAGGTGCAGGTCAGTGTCAGGGCCTCTGGTGGTGTGCTGGGGTGACTCTGGCTCCTAGGCTGCTGTCCTTGGGACCATGACATGTGGCCTCTGAGGCTCAAGTTCACTGTGGAATCTTGTGCTCCAGCCCCAGCACCAGGGTGAAGCCGGTATTGTATAGAGGCAGGGGTCTGCCCGGCGTTGCACACAGCAGAGGCCCCAGGGAGGCAGGTCCTGCCTGAAGACCACTTGGGAGACCAATGAGATGGGGAGGAGTGGGTGCAGAAAGAAATCTACCTGTCAGCATGCAGTCCTCTTTCCCCCACTGCCTTCTAGCTCTTATCCCATCCTCCCTTCTCTGCCTGGCGTCCATGTGTCCATCAAACCCATGCATCAGTTTGGCATTTTTTTTTCTTTTTGAGACGGAGTCTTGCTCTGTCACCCAGGCTGGAGTGCAGTGGCACTGTCTTGGCTCACTGCAACCTCCACTGCCAGGGTTCCAGTGATTCTCCTGTCTCAGCCTCCCAAGTAGTTGGGATTATAGGCCCGGCTAAGTTTTGTATTTTAGTAGAGATAGGTTTTCACCATGTTGGCCAGGCTGGTCTTGAACTCCTGACCTCAGGTGATCCACCCACCTCAGCCTCCCAAAGTGCTGGGATTACAGGTGTGAGCCACCCCACCTGGCCTATCATATTTTTCACTTCATTTGATCTCGCCCACCGAGCCCTCTGTCCTCCTACCCTTCCATCTGTCTGCCCTTCACTCATTGCTTATTTTCTCAGTTCAGATGTCCAAGAGACAATATCATGGAGTGGGTGAGAGCATGGGCTCTGGAGCCTGACTGCTCAGGTTTGAATCCTACTTCTGTCACTTACTAGCTGCGTGTCCTTGGTCAGGTTTCCTAACCTCTCTGCCTCAGTTTTGTAAGCTATAAAATAGGGATAATGATAATTACACTTTTCGTAGGCTCGTTAGGATTATTTAACATATATAGAGCCCTTCATATGCTGCCTGGTGTGTGGTATGTGTCATAGTGTTTACCATTATTAGTATTCTGTTGTTATTATTTGAGACAGAGTCTTGTTCTGTCGCCCAAGAGTGTAGTGGCACGATCTCGGCTCACTGAAACCTCTCTCTGGGTTCAAGTGATTCTCCTGCCTCAGCCTCCTGAGTAGCTGGGATTACAGGTGCCCACCACCACTCCCAGCTAATTTTTATATTTTTAGTAGAGACAGGATTTCACTATGTTGGCCATGTTGGTCTCAAACTCCTAACCTCAAATGATCTGCCTGCCTCAGCCTCCCAAAGTGCTGGGATGACAGGCGTGAGCCAGCATGCCGGCCTCTGTTACTATTACTATTGGTCTATCACTCACCTGCCTGTTTGCCCTCTATCTGTCGCTCTAGCTGTTTGTAAGTTCTTTGGTCCTGTCTGCCCTGTGGAATGCCCAGCACTATGCCAGGCTTGTGGTAGCCCCATGCCTGGCCCAGTGAAGACTGTGTGGGTTCCAGGTGCTGAAGGAAAAGAAGCAGGCCACGGAGCGGCTGGTGTCACTGTCGGCCCAGAGTGAGAAGCGACTGGAGGAGCTGGAGCGGAATGTGCAGCTCATGCGGCAGCAGCAGGGGCAGCTGCAGAGGCGGCTTCGTGAGGAGACAGAGCAGAAGCGGCGCCTGGAGGCGGAGATGAGCAAGCGGCAGCACCGCGTCAAGGTCAGGCTCATGGCAGGGCAGGCACCCTCTGTTCAGGCCAGGAGCCCAGCCAGGGGAGCCCAGGCAGGGTGTGCCACTCGTAGCCATGTGACCATAGAAAGCAGGTCACTTGGCCTCAGTTTGTTGTTTCATCTGAAAATATGGAGTGTTACAGGAAAATCAAGGCCAGCGTGAGACCTGAGTGAAGTACATGAGGTGACTGTCATCTCGTGGGGCTAATTTCTAAGTGTTTGCGTCTGTTTGTGGGATGGGTCTGGGGGACGAGTCCAGGGCCTTCTCGGGAGAGGGCAGGCACTCCTGCGGGCTTTGGGATCAGTGGCAGGCTCTGGTAAGATGCTGGCACCATAAACAGCCCTGCCCACTGAGCTCCTCACCCAGGAGCTGGAGCTGAAGCATGAGCAGCAGCAGAAGATCCTGAAGATTAAGACGGAGGAGATCGCAGCCTTCCAGAGGAAGAGGCGCAGTGGCAGCAACGGCTCTGTGGTCAGCCTGGAGCAGCAGCAGGTGGGGTCGGGCTGCGTCCGTGCCCAGGTTCCTCTGGGGTCTGGCTGGTGGGTACACCTTTCTCCCCCGTGAACCTCGAGTGGTGGCTGATACAGCCAGAGGTGGGCCCTGAGCTCCCTTCCTCCCTCCTTCCCTGCTTTTCCTTAGAAGATCGAGGAGCAGAAGAAGTGGCTGGACCAGGAGATGGAGAAGGTGCTACAGCAGCGGCGGGCGCTGGAAGAGCTAGGGGAGGAGCTCCACAAGCGGGAAGCCATCTTGGCCAAGAAGGAGGCCCTAATGCAAGAGAAGACGGGGCTGGAGAGCAAGCGCCTGCGGTCCAGCCAGGTGAGGCCCAGCCAAGAGAGATCCAGCCAGGTGAGGTCCAGCCAGGTGAGGCCCAGCCAGGAGGGGTCCAGCCAGGTGAGGCCCAGCCAGGAGGGATCCAGCCAGGTGAGGCCCAGCCAGGAGAGGCCCAGCCAGGAGGGATCCAGCCAGGTGAGGCCCAGCCAGGAGGGGTCCAGCCAGGAGAGGTCCAGCCAGGGGAGGTCCAGCCAGGAGGGACCCGCCAGGAGAGGTCCAGCCAGGGGAGGTCCAGCCAGGAGGGACCCTCCAGGTGAGGCCCAGCCAGGGGAGGTCCAGCCAGGTGTGGTCCAGCCAGGAGAGGTCCAGCCAGGAGAGGTCCAGCCAGGAGAGGTCTAGCCAGGTGTGGTCCAGCCAGGAGGGGTCCAGCCAGGAGGGACCCTCCAGGAGAGGTCCAGCCAGGTGAGGTCCAGCCAGGAGAGGTCCAGCCAGGTGAGATCCTGCCAGGTAAGGTCCAGTGAAGTGAGGTCCACCAGGACTGAGCTTGCCAGGTGAGTTCCTGCCAAGTAAGTTTCTGCCAGGTGAGGTCTAGCAAAGTGAGGTCCCTCTAAGTGATAAACCTTCCAGGTGAAGTCCTCCAGGTGAGGTCTAGACAGAAGAGGTTCTTCTAGGTTGTATCTCTGCCAGATAAGTTCCAGACAGAGGAAGCTCTGTCCTACTGGGGTCTAGTCTGTATATTCCCATGAGCCACAGGGCTTCGGGATATTTGTGACATGGGTACAGATGCATGCATAGAAGAACTTCTTAAGTGTCCATCCTCCAGTTCGTTTCAGTCTAACCACCTATTCAGGGCTTGTGCAGGAAGACTGAGGAGGAGCAGGTATAGGAAGGTGGTAGGGTCAAATAGAAAGAGACGTCTGCACCTGACATCATTACTCTCTCAAATAGGAAGGTCAGCTTCTGAGCCACAGTGTTCTCTTCTGTCAGATGGGATCATAATGTTGCCATGGGGGCTGGCGGGGGACGGCAGTCACAGATGCGGGGCCTTTTCCAGTACTGAGGCTTGGGCACGGCACTCAGTGTCCCAGCCTTGCTCCTGCCGGCACACATCACTTTGGTGTGCAGGAGGGTCCAGGATGCTACTGGATTATCCGTAACTTCTGGCTGGGAGAGCCCTCACTTCCTCCCGCATCTGGCTCCCAGAAAGGCCTTTGGGGCTTGGCCATTTCCCATCACTATCAATCTGGTCATCTCAGGGACAGGTCATTCCTCCCACCCCTACCCATTGTTCCTTCTTGCCAGGAGGGCATCGTCCCTCTGGCTGTCCTTATCCTCCTCCCACCATCTCTGAGTGCCCCTCTGCAAAGGGGGCACTGGTCCCTTTGGCCCCACCTCCCGGAGCTTCTGTGAACTGAGTCTGGTCTCTGCTGAGCAGAACATCTGGAGTGTCGTTTTCTTGAGGGAAGGACTCGAGTCGTTAGCATCCAGTGACTGGGCTGGCCCTTTCTGTCACCCCTGTGAGGACAGTGCCTATTCCTTCCCTAATCCCCAATGGTGCTGCCCCCAGGCCCTCAACAAGGACATCATGCACGTGTCCAGCCGGCTGTCTGTCACCCCTGTGAGGACAGTGGCTGTTCCCTAATCCCGGTGGTGCTACCCACAGGCCCTCAATGAGGACATTGTGCGTGTGTCCAGCCGGCTGGAGCACCTGGAGAAGGAGCTGTCGGAGAAGAGTGGGCAGCTGCGGCAGGGCAGCACCCAGAGCCAGCAGCAGATCCGAGGGGAGATTGACAGCCTGCGCCAGGAGAAGGACTCGCTGCTCAAGCAGCGCCTGGAGATCGACAGCAAGCTGCGGCAGGGGAGCCTGCTGTCCCCCGAGGTACCCTGCAGCCCCCGCTGCCATATTCCGCCTGTCTGCTCTCCTCAGCCCCTGCTCCAGCCCTCTGGGGGTGCTGGGCCTTGCTGTCTGTGGACCCAAGGTCACACTGTTAGGTGGAGGTGGGGGCTGGGGAGGGCTGGCCTGGCCCTTCTGCCCTGCTTTGGCCTCATTGGCTGGGATGCAGGGGTGGGGCATGTTGACCCCCAGCCCCCTTCTGGCTGGAGCCTGCACTCCTGTTCTGTGCTGCATTTGAGCACCTGTCCATATGCCTCGGCTCTGTGTGGACAGAGCATCAGGAGTACGCTCAACGCACCTCATGCCCACACATCTGTGTTCCCTGAGCAGAGAAGGCCTGTGTGACTCTAGTCATGTGCTGTGTGACATTTAAGTGAATAACAGACAGTTCATATAATAGTGCTCCCAGAAGATGATCATATTGCATTTTTACTGTGCATTTTCTAGGTTTAGATACACAAATACCATGGTTACAACTGCCCACAGTATTCGGGACAGTCCCCTGCAGTCCAGGCTTGTGGCCTAGGTCTGTGGTGGGCTATACCATCTAGGTTTGAGTACATTCTGATGTTTGCACGCCGTCGAAATTGCCTAATGATGCGTTTCTCAGAATGCGTCTCCATCTGTAAAAGCTTACCCAGCAAACACCATGGTGCCTCCATGGCGTCCCAGCCACACCTTCTGTTTGGTGCTCTGAGCTTCCTGAGTGTAGATTATTTGCGGGGGCTGACAGTTGAGCAGGCCGCCTCTGAGCAGTAGCCCCAGCCCACCCTGGGGTCGGGGCTGTGACAGTGGGCAGGGCTCCTCTCTCCATGTGTCGGCTCTGCCCTTGGGAGGAGGGGAGTCCTGGTGTCTGCCCAGGACTTCAGCATTCAGGCAGTGGGTGGTGTTGCCCCACACGTGTCCTTGTCCCTGCAGGAGGAGCGGACACTGTTCCAGTTGGATGAGGCCATCGAGGCCCTGGATGCTGCCATTGAGTACAAGAATGAGGCCATCACATGCCGCCAGCGGGTGCTTCGGGCCTCAGCCTCTTTGCTATCCCAGTGCGAGATGAACCTCATGGCCAAGCTCAGCTACCTCTCGTCCTCTGAGACCAGAGCCCTCCTCTGCAAGTATTTTGACAAGGTGGGCCATCAACTCATGGCCCCCGAGGCCCTCACCTTCTCCTCCTGAGGCTCCATGGTCCCCGCCTCCTCCTCCTTCAGCCCAATGTCCCCACCCCGCCTCCCGCAGCCCCATGGTGCCCACCCCTGCTGTCTCCTCTTCTGGCCCCATGCCCCCACCCCTACTGCCTCCTACAGCTGGTGAAGGGAGGTGTCTCATGGCAGCTGCTCCTGCGGATACCCCATTTCCTCCCAGACTAAGGGACAGGCTCAAGACCACCTTGTCTCCAGAGCTGCCTGACTTTAAAGCCTGTTTTACTTGTGTGAAGCTAAGACCTAGTTTCCTACCCTCCGCTTCTGATTGGCTAACCTCAGGGTGGTCATGGCCACAACAGTGGCTATCAATAGGGGATGTTTTTGCCCTTGAGTGACAATTGGCCATGGCTGGAGATACTTTTGGTTGTCACAGTGGTGGGGGTAAAGGCCAGGGATGTCACTGAACATCCTATAACACACAGGAGAGGCCCCCACAACCAAGAATTCTCTGGTCCCAGATGTCCATAGTGCTGAGGTTGGCCTAGATGAAGTCCCACAGCTTGAGGCTCTGCCCGGCTCTGTGGTGTGTGGCTAGGAAAGGGCTCCTGGCAGAGAGAACAGTTTCATCATGAGAGCCAGCTGTGATCGTTGGAAGATCACTAGAACACTGTGGAAAGGTATCTGAGGCTGAGTCTTGGCTCAGCAGGGGAGACTCTGGGCATTTCTTAGTGCCATGGTGGCAAATGTGCCAATGCTGTGTCTGTGGCTGAGGATTAGCTGGGTGAAGAGGGATCCTGGTGGGGGCTGAGTCTGGCTGGGTCTTGGGACAGGTGGTGACGCTCCGAGAGGAGCAGCACCAGCAGCAGATTGCCTTCTCGGAGCTGGAGATGCAGCTGGAGGAGCAGCAGAGGCTGGTATACTGGCTGGAGGTGGCCCTGGAACGGCAACGCCTGGAGATGGACCGCCAGCTGACGCTGCAGCAGAAGGAGCACGAGCAGAACTTGCAGCTGCTCCTGCAGCAGAGTCGAGGCAAGCAGCCCCCATCCCCTTCCCACCTGTGCTCACAGCTCTGCCCACCCACAGGCCCTTACCACCCTTTCCTTGGCCCTTCCACTCTAGATCACCTTGGTGAAGGGTTAGCAGACAGCAAGAGGCAGTATGAGGCCCGGATTCAAGCTCTGGAGAAGGAACTAGGCCGCTACATGTGGATAAACCAGGAACTGAAACAGAAGCTCGGCGGTGTGAACACTGCAGGCCATAGCAGAGGTAACTTCCTGCCCCGCTGTGTTCTGAAGTCAGGCCTGATGAGTGTTAAGCATGTTCTGAATGAATTTAAACAGGCTTTGTGTGAGCAACAAGGCTGTTTATTCACCTGGGTGCGAGTGGGCTGAGTCCGAAAAGAGTCAGCAGAAGGCAGTGGAATAGGAGTTGGTTTTATAGGTTTGGGGTAGGCAGTGGAAAGCTACAGAAGTTACATTTCAGGGTGGTTTTTGCAAGCTGGGCAGTGTTGTGGCGGGGGGTGGTGTCATAAGGTCCAATGCTGTAGGGTTGGCTTATCAGTTGAGGCAGGAGCAGTGGTGGAATGTCATAAGGTTGGTTAATCAGGCACTGCAGGAGCTGGCTATTCGCCTTTTGTGGTTTCTTGTTATCTGAGACTTTCTGGCTCTGGGAGGCTGTCTGAAGGTTTAAGTGTGGGTCACGGGTCACCATGGTGTGAAATGCAGTTCAAAGAACCTTGCATTCTTGCTTTTTTATATTAATAATATAAAGGGAAAAAGTAAAAACTAGAAAAATTGGGAGGGCAGTGAAATTTTGGGGGTGGTACAGAGGAGGGTGATAGGTGACGTTTCTCAGGGTTTCTTTGAGCAAGATTGGGGGCGGTGTGGAAACGTAAACATGGGAAAGAATTTATGCTGTTGAGAGATTTTGGGGCAAAGGTGGATATTGTAGGGTTGTTAAAAGGAGCATTTGTCTTATTGACTGATGGGTTATATCTTGGATATGATTTTGTAGGCATTGAGAGATTAGTCAAAAAAGGCAAGGTCCCAATAGGAGGAGACAAATAGGTATAAGGGGGCCTGCTAATGGAAGGAGCCATGATACCCAGTTAGTTAGAGAGTGGCCACTTAGGTCCAGAATAATTATTTGCCTGATTAGCAAGCTTTTGGGCCCGGTCTTTAAGTCTTTTGATGGTGTCATATACAAGGCCACATTAGTTTAGATAAAAGCAGCATTTTTTATTTGGGAATAGGCAGAGTCCTCCTTTCTCAGCAGGCCGTAGAGGCCCTGGCAGTTGTGGCCAGCTGCAGCCAGGAAATGAACTTGGGCTTGGAGAACAGATAGTGATTTAGTTATGTCTGAAATGCTGTGGGAAAAATCATTAGTGAGACTGCGGGATGTGCCGATGGAAGTAGTAAGGCCTGCTATACATATCCCAGTTGCAGCAGTGGAGACTCCTAATCCTACAAGTAAGGGGATTAATGGAATTACTTTTTTTTGTCGTGTAGGTCTTGTGTAGTTTGGCTAATGAAGGCTGGTCCATTGTCACACTGTGTAGAAGTAGGAAGACCAAGTCGGGGGATTATATCAGTTAGAGAAGCAATACCTGTGGTAACTTTTTAGGACCCTGTAGGAAAGGCTTCAACCCATCCGGTAAAGGTGTCAATCCAGACTAGAACGTATTTGTGGATATGGGGCATATGAGTAAAATCTATTTGCTAGCCTTGTGTGGGGGTAAATCCCCTGGCTTGATGTGTAGGAAAAGGAGGGGGTTTAAGGAAGCCTTGGGGAGTAGTATGGTAGCAGATAGAATATTGGGATGTGATTGTTTTCAGGATGGATTTGCATGATGAAGAAACTAGGGGTTCTAAAAGACAGCTAGGGGCTTGTATTTAACTTCCTGTGGTGTGAGAACCCTTTGCCTTGTGTAGGAACCCACTGCTAAAGGGGGTTTCCAGAGGAAGAATGAGATGGATGAGAAGGAAAAACATTGGCCTTGTTGGGGAGATGCTGGGGTGTCCACTGCTGCTTTGGCTGTTTTGTCAGCTAAGGCTATGCATTTCCTTGGGCAATAGGATCTGAATGGTTTTGGTGTCCTCTGCACCCCGGCCTTGGCTGGGAGGAGAGCAGCCTTAAGGAGGGCCTTTATTAAGGGGGCATTGATAAGACCCCTGTGTGATGAGGAAACCTCTTTCTGCCCATATGGCAGCATGGTGGTGTAGATTGTGGAAGGCATATTTAGAGTCAGTACAGATATTAACATATAGTCCTTTGGCAAGAGTAAGAGCACAGATTAAAGCAGTTAGTTCAGCTTGCCGAGAAGTGGTGGAGGGAGGGAGTGTGGCAGCCTCAATGATAGATGAGTGGGATACAACAGCATTGCCAGCTTTGGCTGGTGCCAACTGACTGGGCTTTGAAGAACTGCCATCAATAAAGCATGTGTGGTCCAGGTCTGGGACTGTGAAGAAGGAAATATGGGGAAAGGGGAGGATGCTGTGTGGATTAGTGAGATGCAATTGTGCAGATTAGGGTTTGTCGGGTGTTGAGAGGCTGGGTTGAAGTCTGGTCCAAGAGCAGTGGTTACTGTGGGGGTTTCAATAAACAGTGCCTCAAGCTGGAGAAGGCGAAGGGCTGAAAGTGTGTGAGGTGTGAAGAGGAAGCTAACCTTGGAGGTTGTGAGGGCTGTAGTGGCGTGTAAGCATGATGGCCAGCCTAGGACCGTGAGGTTGAGTTGTTTTGATAAGAAGGTCGTGGGCCTGGCTCTTGGGTAAGAACTCTGACTGCACAACCTTTCATTTCTGCTATGTGAAGGGAGAAGAGTTGGGAGGACTTGGGGAGTGCTGGTATAGGGGCCTTCTTTAGAGAATGAAAGGAAGAATGGGGGAAGCATTTGGGGTTTATGGGGTTAGCTGTTTCCTTTTGTCAGTTTATAAAGTGGTTTGGTTATGGGGTAAAACCTGGCATCCAGAGGTGAAAGCATTCTACAATGCCTAGGAAAGAGGAAACTGTTGATGAGTGGAGGGGATTGGGTTTGGGAGGTTAACCAGACACTATGGGCAGGAAGAGCTCGTGTGTTAATGGAGAATTATGCTGACATCGGTCATGGAAGGGGTGGAAATTGGAGCTTTATAAGGAGATACTTGGTATTATTTAGAATCCAGAAGTTGAAGGAGTAGGAGGGTGGCCTGTTGAGAGGATTTATAAGAGGGGCTGCAAAGGAGGACATTGTTGATGTATGAGGTAGGAAGTGAAAGGGTGAAAGGAGAGTCAGCTGCAGGTGAGGGCTTGGCCGTAGTGATGAGGGCTATCTCAGAAACCTTGGGGAAGAACGGTCCAGGTCAACTGCTGGGACTGGTGGGTGTCCAGGTCAGTCCAAGTAAAGGCAAAAAGGGGTTGGGAAGAGGGGTGGAAAGAGATAGTAAAGAAGGCATCTTTGAAGTCCAGGATGGAATAATGGGTGGAGGTAGGGAATATGGAGGATGAGAGTAGAGGGGTTTGGCACTATGGGATGGATGGGGAGCACTCTGATTAATAAGGCTAAGGTCTTGGACTAACCTAGGACTTGTCCAGTTTTTGAATGGGTAGGATGGGGGTGTTGTAGGGAGAGTTAGTGGGAACTAAAAGGCCATGTTGTAGTGAGTAAGTAGCACAGGCTTTAGCCCTTTTAAGGCTTATGCTGGGATGGGGTAATGGCACTGGGTGGGATAAGGGTGATTAGGTTTTAAGAGGATGAAGAGGCGTGAGTGACTTGTAGCAAGGGATGGGAGGTGGTGTCCTGCACCCTAGGGTTAAGGTAGTGGGACATAAGGGGAGTCACTGAGGGAGGTATGGGTTCAGAGAGGAGGGCAGCAATGAGATGTGGCTATAGCCCAGGAGTAGTCAAGGGGGCAGACAGTTTCACTAGGATATCTCGGCCTAACGGGAACTGGACAAGTGGGGATGATTAGGAAAGAATGTGGAGAGGAGTTGCTGGCCTGATTGACACCAGACGTGGGGAGCTGAGAGAGGCCTGGAGGCCTTGTAGTTGGTTCCCACAATAATTATGGAGGCCAAGGAGACAAAGGCAGCGTGGAGTGGGTGGCCCCCGTGTTAAGAAGGGGATCGATTTATCCTCCACTGTAAGAGTTACCCGAAGCTCAGCATCCGGGGGGCCTGAGAGATTTGGGCAGCGTCAGTCTTTAGCCGCAATTCGAGGCGATCTGGGAACTTTGGGTTGGAACTTCAGGAGCTCTGGGAGCAGCAATATAAGTTGGACAGTGTGACTTTCAGTGGGGGCTCTGCCCCGTTGGGGCAGGGCTTAGTAGGAATCCTGGGCTGTGGGCATTCCTCAGCCCAGTGGCCAGGTTTCCAACTCTTGAAGCAAGGTCTAGGAGGAGCATCTGGAAGCTGCAGTCTGGGCGCTTTGAAGTCTTTGTGAGCCCATAGTGTGGCTGGGGTTTGTTTTACAGCAAAGGGAAGCATTTGTAGTTCTGAGATGTGCTGCCACCGGGCAGCTTCTTCCCCTATTATTGAACACCTTGAAGGTGAGGTTGATTAATTCCTGTTGTGGGGTTTGAGGGCCTGATTTTAATTTCTGTAGCTTTTTTGTAATGTCAGGGGCTGATAAAATGCAGATTAAGTGTTCTTGAGGGGTGAGAGAAGTAAGGATGACATTTAAGTTGCTCCAGGTGAGATTAAAGGACTGGGTTAAGTACTGGAACTCTTGTATATATTTAGGAGGATCTGATGAAAAAGCCTAACCGTTGGCTGATTTGGGAAAGGTCAGATAAAGAGAAAGGAACGTGCACCCTAACTATGCCTTCAGCTCCAGCCACCTCTGGAAGTGGGAATTGTTGGGCAGGGGCGGAAGAGTTTGCGGGGACTGAACTGTCAGCTGGACCGGGTATGAGGTGGGGAGGAGACAGGAGGGGCATAAGGAGGTGGGAGGCTCTGGGTGAGGGGTTAGGGCCTGGATTGGGGTATGGTTTGCATAGGCAGGGAGAAGAAAGGTCAGAACGGTCAATGGACAAGGAGGATTCTGGGTTGCCAGCAGGGGCAGGAAGGGTGGACGGAAGGGAGAGGAGGAGAATTTGGGACAGGTTGCACTGAGAGCAGAGATTAGGGAGGGATTGGAGGTAAAAAATGCCTGGACGTCCGGCACCTCAGACCATTTGCCCATTCATTGACAAAAATTGTCTAGCTCTGGCAGAATAGAGAAACTGAAAGTGCCATTTGGAACCATTGTCTAATTTGTATTCAGGCCAGGCCATATTACAGAGGAAAATGAG